AACCTAACAAAATACAAGAGTTTTTGCATTTTTAGTTTTTTCGTAGCAGTCACCGATTTTTATAAAATAGAGTTTTAACGGATATTTATCACGTTATGGGGACATTGTGTCCCCATAAGGATAGGTAAACCCGCTCGCACACACACACACACAAACACACACACATAAACAGCGGTGTTCTTCATAGATATGTGTGCATAACGCAAAGTGAAACAGCCATCAGAGTCCATGCCAACACATGGCTGTGTTTTAAGGCACTGACAGCGGCTTCAAGGACGTCCTTTAAATTCACTGTGAACCCATTGTTCAACTCCCCGTCTGCTTGGAACGTCGTTCCTGAAGCTCCGAGACCCGTCAACAGCCGCTGAATGACTATGGGGGGAGCTGTGGGGCACTTACATGGGGGCTGAGTGGGTAGCATGATGTCCGGGGGGTCTCACCACCGCAAAGCCATTCTGGACGAGAGACAAGCCGCACAATTACCATTTTTTATCTGCAACAGGCATTGGTACGCTAATCCCGCTAATCCTACAACATCTGCTGGAAAGAGCTATGGAGTGCCAACATTGTCTTCATTTGGAAAGACAATCCCCGCTCTTCTTCTAGACGTCTTTCTCACGAACAAAAAGAAAATAATAATCCATAATGAGACAAAAATCCATAAATCTGCCTCCACTGATCCGCTGCCAGATGACTTGGAACTTTCACTCTAGAAACTACAAAGGAAATTTTGAAGACAAACTTCATTTGGCTTGAAAAAGCAAAGCTTCATTTTAGTGTTGACAGTAGGTGTAGTAACAGTATTACTGGGAATATTACTCACTGCAGTAACAGCAAATCAGTTCATAGAAATTTCACAAGACTTAGAATATAACATTAGTGTTGTTTTAATGAGAGAAATAACAGAAATCGTATCAGTGATAGGGAAGCTTCCATCCTTTCTCCTTCATGGCTGTAGCACTGATTGTCGCCCCTGGCTGTTTGTGGAGTTTGCATGCTTACTCTCTGCTCATGCTCATGTACACTTCCAGCCACAGCCCAAAAACATGTGGTTAGGTGAACAGGTGTCTCTAAAGTCTGCGACTGCATGGTTTGCAATGGACTGTCATCCTATGTATTGTGTGCTCTGCCACATGCCCTACATTTCCTGGGACAGGTTCCAGGCTCACCGTGCTTATGGAATGTCGATGGATGGATGGGAAAAGAGAGCAGGAAGTACATTTATTTCCTGACTTTGTAGGAGTTTCTGATTCCCAGCCATTCCCAGGATAAACAGAAATTTTGCGTCGGATTCTTTCAGGAAGGGGTGTGTAGGGTTTTACAGGCCCACCTTTAACTCGCCCGTTGCCACCTTGAAGGCCAACTCTGTTACACCCCCTGCAGCCACACGCGACGCTGTCGATGTGTACATCTCATTCCAGATTGTGTCGTTGTCCACCTGCCAAATCAGGACACAAACTTGAAGCTCAGAGTCCTTATTTGGGGGGGGGCAATCCAGCCTCGCTACACATTTTTGAAGACGGAACATGACACATAGACCCCGTCTGATATCAGGGGCTGCTGCCTTCTAAGGCGCCACAGCGGTGTGACAGGGCCCTCTTTGGAAGGCTCCAATTCCCATTTCCCGCTCTGCGAAGGATGCTCCCCACTGATCCTTCCATATCCCAAGATTCATTGTGCAGTGGTAAAATGGGTGTGTCCTGGCTCAAGGGTAGGGGCGGGAATAGCTGGTGACTGCCGAACCGTCCCATTTGACAGTGCCTTCTGTTAGACCTTAGAAGAACGCATGGTGGCTTAGACTATATCCTGCAAAGGTTGCAGCCCCTGAATTCAAACTGAGCTATGGAGTAAAATCCCTGAAATAAGCATGACCACCATATATACAGTATATAAGCAAATAGTAGGAGAGCTAATTTAGGGAGAAAAAGGAGGGAAAGCTCCATTAGAGAAATATTTTTTGGATCGTCGGCACGGTTTAAAAACAGAGCTGATCAAAAAAAAAAAAAAAAACACACACAAGTCACTGTTCCAAACCACTAACGCTCTCAGGAGACCCTGGTCACCAGAGGAGATCAGCGCCAAGCTGACGCTGCCCCCAGCAGTACGCTGCTTCTCCCAGCCGACCCATTTGTCATGTGCGCGATCGAACGTTATGTCAGACCGCATGCATCTAATGGGAAGGCGGGGGGAGCGGGGGTACCGGCAGGAGTGGGGGTTTGTCTTCGGGGGAAGAAGTGAAAAGGAACGGCATTAATTCCTGACTGTATCCCAGAAGCATCCGGACCCGTGCAAAGGTCTCGCAAGCTTCTCTGGCACCTAGCGATTAATGGAGCCGTACCAGCGGTCAGGCATGAGTTACTCTCTCTCTCTCCAGATTCATTATCTGACTGTAACAGGAAACATGCAGGCAGAAGGACCGATAAGAAACGTATCTGCAAATGAGCCCCTTGATTTCGATTGGCAAAGCAGCTCTTGCTCTAATCTGATTGGTCCAGCCATTCGAAGGTGTGCGAAGCTGCCGCCAGGGGTGTCGTGTCAGTATGTGTGCATGCGAGAGGGTCCCAGAGCTTCGGCCATTACTCACCCCAACGCCCCCACATGGCAGCATGACAAACATCCTCTCAGACAGGATTCCTGTAGGACAGAGACAGACAAATGGGCACTTTAAACCAATCACTCGTTAAATACCCAAAGAAATGTTTGGCTTTATCTGAGGACATTCCAGAATGGTCAGGAATATTCTGATGCTGATCCAGAGAAATGCAATGTATGCATTAATGCAGTGGTGCATTAATACTTCATTGGCGTATATCTACATTAGTGTGTCTGCCTCTGTGTAAATCTGTGTGTGTCTGTCTGCCTCCGTGTGTCTGCCTCCATGTATGTGTGTATGTGTTTGTGTATATGTCTGTGTGTCCGCTGGCCTCTGTGTGTGTTTGCCTCTGTGTGTATGCCTCCGTGTGAGTGTGTTTGTCTGCCTCTGTGTGTGTGTGTGTCTGCCTCCGTGTATCTGCCTCCGTGTATCTGCCTCCGTGTGTCTGCCTCCGTGTATCTGCCTCCGTGTGTCTGCCTCCGTGTGTCTGCCTCCGTGTATCTGCCTCCGTGTGTCTGCCTCCGTGTGTCTGCCTCCGTGTGTGTACACTATCTGCAGCTCACCACTCAGCTTGTGGGGGTCCAGCTTCAGGCGGTTCAGCGGGTTGGTTCCGTAAAGCAGCACATGCTTCTCGGAGTGCACCAACTGCAGCTCCTCCAGACTGGCTTTCTTCCCCTGGATGATCTGAGGGGACAGTGGGGGTCAGAGGAGCCGCCCATGGGAAGAGGGCAAGGAGGAGATCAACCCAGTGAGCAGGAGGCTGGAAGAGGGGGCCACACACCTCGCACTGACTCCGCAGGCCGCGCTCCTGCAGTCGCGACAGGATGCTCTGGATCCTCCCAGCATGCTCTGGGTGGCTGCTGTTGTCCCCGCAGTTACACTGGTGCTTCAGCATTTGGGAGTCATACATGAGACCTGCACGCACACGCACACGCACACGCACACGCACACCATGTCACTGTTAAAGATATTTTAGTTTATCGGTTTATCAAAACTTAATCTTAGCACTAAGGAAATGTCTTACTGCTTCCACATTTCTTTCTGCCCAGCTATCAGTTCCAATTGCTTTCCGCAAGGTGATTCTGCCCTGTACCTGTGGTGAAGCGCGGCTTGCTGGGGTTCTCTGGAGTTGGCAGAGACAGGGCCTTATCTGGCAGCGAGAGAGAGGTGGAAGCCGGCGAAGACTGGGTGCGGGACAAGGTGCGGTGGGTGCCCCGGAGCACCATGGGAATGGGCCCAGCCTCCAGATTGATTGCCTGCCTCTGTGAATGCTGTCTCAGCTGCTCCCATAGCAATGACTTAAATGGAAAAATAAGATGGGCAAGGGGTGAAAGATAGAGGATAGATCAGGGTGGAATGCAGGGAATTGTGAATGAAAAGAGGTATTCTGGAAGGCTGGCTACGCTGGCTCTTTCATGTGATCCTATGATGTAGTACCCAAAGCACATGCCCATAAATGTGGTGCTATGGCACCCTCTACTGGTAGGACTGATACCACACCAACACCACAGGGATAAACAGTCAATAAACTTAACCAAGAATTCCATTGAGGTTTAATGTATTTTCCTGTCATAAATAAAATATAATTAAAGATGGTTTAAATGTTGTTTTAACAAAAGATCACATACTCCAGAGCTTAATGTGAAAATGATGTGTAATCAGAAAGTAGTGTAGTGGACCTCTCGCTAGAAACAGGATCCCATGTACAACTGTAACATGTAATTAAAGTCAAAACAAAACACTGCCCCCTTGTGCCCGATATCCTGATAGCATCTGCTGCAGCAGCTGGACCCTGATACCTGGCTAAGCAGGGGATTCTGCTGCAGGTTGCTGCGCCTCTCGCCTCCCGATGGCAGCTTCGCCTCACGCAGCAGCTCCATCCGCGGCCGGCCCGGGGAGACGTCCCCAAGCTCCTGCCCCACCTCCTCCGAGTCCATGTCCTCTGACGGGATCTGCCCCAGACGAGGCGTCTCACTCGACTTCCACATCAGCTAAACAGCAGGCAGACAAACAGATGAAGTCACTCCTGACCTCCTGAACTAAGCGTCGTCTGAGCAACAGGTACAAAGCAATAGGATCTAGGTAACATTACTGCTTTAGTATATTTACACATTACTACATTCTAGATATTATGTACCATATTTCAAAAGGTTATAGATACGCAGCTAAACAGAACATACATACAGTACTTAAGATTAAATGGCACGCTTTTGGGGCTGTATAGATGTGTGCAGCTGAGTGGTAGTAGGTTCCCGACAGTGTATGGTGGCAAAGGCGGCAGTGGGGCAGTGTCACCTTGCTCAGGTGGTAGTAGGTTCCCGACAGTGTATGATGGCAAAGGCAGGGGCAGGGCAGTGTCACCTTGCTCAGGTGGTAGTAGGTTCCCGACAGTGTATGATGGCAAAGGCGGCGGCGGGGCAGTGTCACCTTGCTCAGGTGTGCCTGTAGCAGCTGTGTGTGCACAGACTGTGGGCTCTGGGGCAGCGGTTCCGACCGGGTCCGGCTCAGAAGCTTGTGCTGGCCCTGTGGCACCAGGAACTCTGCCTGGGAGCCGAACTGCAGAGGCATGTCAGCTAGGCAGGGGACAGGGCCATGCACTGGAAGGCGGGGGAGAGGAGAGAAGAGCAGAGTTAGCAGGATGCATGGGCACGGCGACGGCTCTTTCCCTTGCCGTGTGAACGCCTACACTTCGCAGAAAATGTACTTTAGAAGCTGACCACATCTCCACCACACAGGAAACAGAGACGCAGACCTGTGAAGGTGCTCTCTCTTCTGCGGCAGTCAGTACAGCTTTCTCTAAATCTTCACTCAGTCGCACAAATACAGCCACATAAAGTGATTCATTTTATAGCTTGTTTTTTTGTATCCCACAACAGATTTGCTTACTTTCTAATTTCTGGGTTATCAATTACAGATTAGCATTTGCACCTGGCATTGCAATAAGCATGTTAATTGTGACTATCCCTCAGCCTGGGAAATGAGGTGCAATTGACAGTTCCAGCAGTAGGTGGCAGCACCCTCAATATCGTAGGTCCCGAAGTACGCTTCCAATCCATCAAGCCCTCCGTTCATGTAAAAGACATCTCTCTCCTTCTACGGCCATAGCACTGTATCTCACAATCACCCGGCAGATAAACTTTGGACAGCAGAAGGCGGGCACACGTAAGCACATGAAAAATGTATAACGTTGTCGCTATGTAAACACCGTGACTGAACGGGGCAGACGTTTAACAGAAACTCAGAAGGAGGGGGGGGAACAAAACAATGGTAGAGAGATTGAAGGGGTCAGTATGCCCCCCTCCCCACCCCATACCCTTCATCAGCAGCTGAGTGTGGAGCAAGCCGGACTGCTTCAGGATGACCATCGGCTGGAGCCCTGAAGACGTCCGGACAGGGACCTCCTCCACACCCAGCGGGACATAGACCTGCGGGGCTCCGGGCAACATGGTGGCGTGGTCACTCTGTGAGAGAAGGTAAAAGAAGGCAAGGTCAGGGCAATGTGAATGGGCAACACCATGCAAAGGCTCATTTGATGTCATCCATAATGCAGGTAAAATGCTATGTATCTGTAACCTGTAAATTAATATATGCACAGTGTTGGGGAAGTTACTCACAAAAGTAATCCAATACAGACAGAGGTGAAAAGTTCAGGTCCACATCCAACCAGCTGAGTACTCTGTGACTGCGACTCTTTATTCTCACCTGGTTGGTTGAAACAAAACCTTGGTCTGGATTTTGTACTTTCTGGACCTGAACTTTCTACCCAGGTCTGCAATGGATTACTTTTGTGAGTAACTTCCACAACACCATATATGGACTTTGAGCATTATATAGCTATCAACGTTAAGCTGTTAAAAATAGCGATATAAAGTAACATATTAACAACCCTCGGGAATACAAATGAACAAACATAATAGTACAAGCATAAATATTAGTTAAATAAATGATTTCATGCAACATCTTTTCATTGGTTAAAAAGTGGCTATACGCGTTTTTCATTGGACAGCGTTGCTACAGTGTGTAATTCAGTCAGTTACCTTCGAGTTAGCTGGCCGTCCCAGGGAGATGGTGGGCATGGTGCACGGGGTGCGGACTCTGAAATGGGATGAAGCATCGTCCTGGAGCAACAGCCCGGGTCAGAAAAGACAAATATAAAAGTCTATTTAAATATCTGATACCCCCTCATGACACAGGAATCGAATCCCGTAGCAGGCAGAGTAATCATATCACTGCGGGGCCCTTAACCACAGAAAGAGCTGCAGGAGGAAAAACAGGTAACCCTGCTCCCTGACATCCAGCTTCACCCTCATCTGTGTACGCGTGACCTCGTGGGAGATTAAACTAAAAAATATCCATGTAGCTAAGTTTGTACAAAAAAGTGAAACAAAGTGTTATTGATCATTCGAGTGTGTGTCCAAGTGTGTGTGTGTGTGTGTGTGAGAAACAGACAGACAGCATTTCTGCCCAGTCACGTTTCCATGCCAATGTGGAAGACAAAATGTACATGCATGAGAAAGCCGGTTCTAATGAATTTAGAAAAGATGAGGGGGGGGGGTATCAGATGAAAAAAAAAAAAAGATTTAATAAAAAACAATATTAATAATAAAAGGTATCGAGTGTCATGGCTGCAGCCTACAGCTGCCAGCTTGTCTTCCTCGGTTGTCACTGTTTAAGTCATTTTATTACAGTGGTGCAAACAAATCGGGATTAGCAGAAGGTGTTCTCTCTGAGTTCTCGGAAAGAAACCCGGCCCTCTAAACAAGCTCTCCGGGGACAGGGGGGGCAGCGTTTGAGGGGGAATGAGGACAAGGCTCTCAGAAGAGAAGCTCACGGTCTGCCTTGTCCCCAGACCCTCCGGTGTGGCCTTCCCCTAGCCTGGAGGACCTGGGGATAACCTTTGGACAGCGTCCCCCCGCTGCCGTATCAGCCTGATGTTCATCTCTACTCCGGGATGTATGCCTAGGGCTCTGAGAGAACTAGCTTGACCCAAACATAATGACTGAGACTGATCCATGGACCAACTGTGCAAGCCCAAGACCACCAGGCCAGTGACCCAAGTGGAGCAAAATGGCATCAACCTTTGACTGAGGAAGTTAATCATTTCTTTGCCATATATGATGTGAAGTGACATGAAAATTCACTTGCAGGTGCCCCACTCTGAGGCACGCTGATAATCATCTGAACGTTATAAACCCACATGTCCAAAAAGAGGGTGTAAATTCAGTTAAACAATGGAAAATGAATAATGAAAAGGCAACATAGACAGGAGAACTGTAAATTACAGCCAGGGCTACACATCACATTCACTTGGTAGTAGCCTGTAAATTACAGCCAGGGCTACACGTCACATTCACTTGGTACTGTAGTAGCCTGTAAATTACAGCCAGGGCTACATATCACATTCACTTGGTAGTAGCCTGTAAATTACAGCCAGGGCTACACATCACATTCACTTGGTAGTAGCCTGTAAATTACAGCCAGGGCTACACATCACATTCACTTGGTAGTAGCCTGTAAATTACAGCCAGGGCTACACGTCACATTCACTTGGTAGTAGCAGTTTTCGGGCATTAAAGGACCTCACTCATCCCGGCGCCCTCAGCCCTCGTCACGGGGTGTTGGTTTCGCGTGTCGGGGCGATCCTGTTCCTGGAAACTGAACCCGGGGCAGTTGACCAAATTACTGCTAACCCCCCCCCCACCATTCCACTCCGGGGCAGGTGGCTCACCTCATGAGCGAGTGTGACAGTAGGGGGCAGCACGCCGTTGTCAGGAGCCAGGCTGTCATTGGGAGAGCTGGAGCCAGAAACAGGCGTGCTACTGCTGCTTGCGGAAGAGTCTAGAAGAAAGGGGTGTCCGATTACCACATGTCAAAATAAAAGCCTGGTGATACACTGCAATTCTGATTAGCTTCGCATGCAACCTCCTGTTCTTCAGACACAGGTCATCTTGATGACTTACGTCTGAAGAGATAATAAAAGGATTACTTCACCACCCCCACCCCCACCCCCGGCATTTATCTAGTCAGATGGGTATGCACGTAAAGTATCCGAAGTCCTGCCACAGAATTCATGGCTCTATTCTGTCATCACCCACAGATACAAGATATTATCCAACAGCACTAGCAGTTAAGTGTTGTGTCTTAATGTGAGAATAGAGATGCAGCTTGGAAAGGTGAAGATGGACAATTGAGCTTGGGGGGGGGGGGGGGGGGGTTGAACGGTAGAGGTAATGGTGGCCTGGCAAGACCACAAAGGACGGCGGCAAGCACTGGGGCATTAGAGGGCGGTGTGTTCAGATGGCGAAAGCAAAGAGAGGCACAACCCAGGTGGTACCGTGAGGTTCAGAAGTGGCGTGCTTGATGGGGCCCGGGGCGCTCTCCTTCCGGGCCAGCGGGCTCATCCTGGCCAGGTGCTTCTTCGGCCTGAATTTCAGACTGGGCTCTGAAGCTGCGAGCAGAGCAAAGAAGCTGCCAGCTTCAGAAATCTTGTTCATTTCGCATTTGAAAACACATGCGCGCAAGTGTGCTTATGTGTGTGTGTTATGTTTATGTTACATTGTCAGGACCAAATGTTCCCCACAATGTAATAAAAACTTATTTTGACATTGCGGGGACCATGTTTCAGGTCTCCACAAACATCTGTGTACGCAATCAAAAAACTAAAAGTGCCAAGTCTTTTTGTTTGGTTACTTATGGTTAATGTTAGGGCTGGGTAGGGGTTAAGGCCATCATTTTGTGATTAGAGTTTTCCCCATAGAAATAATTACAAACCTGTGTGTGTGTGTGTGTGTGTGTGTGGCTAGAACTTCCATACAGGCTGCACGCTGCTTGGGCCGCAAGTTGACTGGGAAATGACCGAACCGCAGGGGTCAGGCTAAAGCCCAGCGATTAAACATTTTACCAAGTGTAAAATAAAGGCTGAAATGCAAGAATCGTGAGCTTGTACAAATAACGTCAAGGCAAACACAAAAGGACGAAATAAATACCTGGGTGGGGCGGATATTTTTGACTTTTTAATACAGACCATATATAATCCTTTCACTTACGTTTGAAGATACGATAAGGAGCCAAATACTTTTTTTATTATTATTTTGGAAACCTCTTTAAATAAAAAAACACTTCTACTAAGAGTCAATCTTTCCAAGGTGACGTAACCTCAACGAATGATGCATTTAATAAAACTCCATTGTTACAGTATTCAAACAAAATCAGGGAACGACGGCTCCCAGGGAAGGGCGTGCACTCCCTGCTGCCAAACGACTGGAGCTCCACAGGTAAACAATGACATTCTGATGTATTACCTCGTCTCCTTAATCTCGGGCTAAGACTCGTGACCTACATTCAGAGCGGTAAGCCTTACGTAAGCGCCTTCCATGACTTTTGTTGCCGTGTGAGTTTTTTTTTTTTTTTTTTTTTTGGAGCACCTGCTCAGAATAGCAGGTCCCAGGGTGGAGCAGCCTGCCTGTGCTGTGCTCAGTCCTGGTCGAGTACAACCAAGAGTGCACAGCGTGCGAGCAGTCTGATTCAGCACAGGGTCGACACAGGCGAACACAGCGCAGAGTCGGTGTAGGCTACCCGAGGGCCGGTACAGGTTAACAGCACAGAATCTGTGCTATATGTTCAAAAGAAAACAGCAGTATCAAAATACAAGGCCTGTTTGTTTGCTCTCACTTTGGGACAGTAAAGGAGACCATCGATACGGTCAATCACAAAAAGAACAGTTACAGTATAAGACACATTAGGGGTTAGCCGCTTTTGCTTTGAAGGAGTTTGTGGCTGACAGATCATGCTCCTTTTACCATTTTCACCCTATAAAACGACCGCGTGGCGTGCACTCTCCTGGCGTGCACTCTCCTGCCGTGCACTCTCCTGCCGTGCACTCTCCTGCCGTGCACTCTCCTGGCGTGCACGCGGGGCATTATGGGGGACGGCTCACCTGTCCTTCTCAGGAGTGGGTGTTTCGGGGCCTCGCTGGGGGGCTGTGCAGGCGGGCTCAGCAGATAAGACTCCGCGGCAGCGTCAGACTCCAGCGGCAGCTCCCTGTGTTAGCACAGGCATCCCACGGTTCACGGGAGGCCAAACGCACCAGACAGGATCTGGCAGGATAGCGGAGCAGCGCTCGAGCCAGACGGACAGGTTTAGTGCCAGCGATCTGGCCTGCTTACCGACATCTCCCCGGGGAGCCGCTTGCGGGGTTCGACTTAATTCGTTCCTGGGCAGCCTGTTGCCGTTTCTTTAGAATCACTTCTTGGAGTTTCTTCTTTACCGCAGAACTAGCTATGGCACCTGTGAGTCAAAGGTTACCAAGTTATTCTGGGAAAGCTTCACCCCCACCTGCGATGTTTATCGCTCTACCCGAATGACTCAGCTTGGAGCAACTCACAGGCATTTGCCATAATGGAGATTAGTGATACTTTAGTGATCCCAGCAGGGAGACTGCCCTTTCACCTATCCTGTCTTGCTCTCCGTGAGACACAGACACATACACAAGTTTGGAGCTCACAGAGACCCTGCAGTAATTGCGGGCTAAGGGCCATGCTTCAAGATTCGAAATAGCAACCTTCCGGTTATAGGAGACCTAAACCACTGAGATACACACCACCTCCCACATAAGGAGGAAAGCAAGTTTATCGATGTGTCGGAGACCAAGCCTCTTCTGTGACTTTGCCAAATCATTGATCAAAACATAAACAGCAGAGAGAGCAGATGGTTCAGAATAAAGGTCTACAATATGAAAGGGTGAGGACTGTCTACGTCCTGATGCTGGGAGTAAGGGCTTGGGCACAATGTGTGCTTTTCCACACGTCCCCAGTGAGCACACTGAGGTGGCTGGCCAAGGCCACCTACTCAGATCAGGGGAACGCATCCTGTAACGTGACGAGATGTGATGTAACTGCTTTCAACTCGCTTTGCCAGACAGGGATATCACAGAGCTTTACAAGCTTCTCACGGTCCAACACAGAAGGAAAAACAGCCCTAATGATGGAACAGAGACAAACGAGTCTCTGCTCTTTCAGAAACTGGTTTCGGTTCCGGACTCGGAGGCGCTAGATCACCAGATGGAGTGCAGAGACAACAAGGACAAGCAGGAAAGTCGTCGCCACCAGTGTCATTCTTGCTGCTTCCTGGCTTGTACTTTTATGGTTTTCCTCTCTGTATTTCCTATGCATCTCTGACACTGGCGACCATCCCATGGGAAATTCACAAGCAGTCGAGTCGATTCCTTCTCATATTGAAACCTTATGACTGACCTTCCCCGCTCATGGGTCTTAAAGTCTCTGTGTCAGCTCAGTTATTTTAAAATTTGACCTCAGATCTCTACATGCTCTGACACTGCACAACGTATGCCTCCAGTTAAGGGTGCTTTGTGTTCCTTAATCAATAGTTCTCTGCCATATTTTTTTTTAGAAATCTTACGTGTGAAACTTTAGACTGCTTAACAGGTTTTGACACAGGACCAGGAAAGTTAGATGTAACACTGCTTATGTTCTGGCTGACAGGTTTGTAGGTTTGCAGTAAAATCACACATTTCTAAGCTGGAAACATGATGCACGGTTGGGGTGCCATTTTGCCAACAATTTTTTGCACATGAACACATCCATGAATGCCCGGCAGACTCGTGCCAATACTGCTCAGACGCACCGAGAACAGAAAGACCCATGATCGGAAAACCAATCTAGCGGTACCTCCTCTGCTTTTAAGAGCATTTCTAGGTGCCGATGACAAGGGGGACAGTTTACGGAGAATGAGAGCGCGATGCCCTATGGCGTGGACAGGGGGCGCCGCAGTCACTCACTCTGCTGGCTCTTGACCTTGTGTCGCAGCTGCTGCAGCTGCTGCTTTGCTTTCTCCTTCTCTTCCTCCTCACATGGGTCCCTGTTGAACTGAAAGCAGAAATGGACACAATGAGCAGGAGCAGGAGCAGGGGAGCACGCAGGAGATAGAACATCGGCAGGGCGGAGTCTCGAACCCGGACGTGCCGCTGCAGCTGCTGCTTGGAGACCCAGCCGCACGGCTGAAGCGGGAAGTGGTCTAAGTAGACAGGCTGCTGGTTGACGGTAGTGGGAATGGAGCCGGGACGGCCTGACCTCTGGCTGACTCGCAGGTCCATGGGAGCAGAAAGCGGGACAGAGGGCGCTGTAGGGCACCGGGGCGGCACTCACATCTACTGGGGAGATACAAAGAGAGAAAAAATGAGCAATTTGGCCCTGGGAGGACTGAAGTCCAGGTGGGGAAAAAAAACACCAGTGGCCTGTCTCTTCTCTGAGCGTGAAATTTGTAAACAAGCAGGAAAGTGGCAGGAGAAGCAGAGGCAGCATGCATGCGAGAACACAGACCAGGTATTTACACCCTCAGAGAACACAGACCAGGTATTTACACCCTCAGAGAACACAGACCAGGTATTTACACCCTCAGAGAACACAGACGAAACACAGAATGCGTCACCGTCTTCTGCTGCCCGCCCCCCGGCCCCCTGCTTGAAACTCGGGAAGGGGGCATTTTAGGGATGTTTTTGTGGTGAAGTGGCATAAGGGGGGGTCGCGGAGAGCGGATGGCTTGAGGGTGTCTGACAGATCCCGTCTGCATATTGAAATAAACCCGCAGCCAGCAACGGGCCGCAGCACTCTGCTCTCAATCACCCTTCATAAAAAAAACAATCCCATAATTGTTATTATTGGTGCAGGCCGTTTATACTCCATCTGGGCGGCTCATGGGGGATTTCCGGCATCCCTTCCAGGGGTGGACTGGGGGTGCAAACATCTCGACGTCTCCATAATCGAAACGTGACCTTACATGACCTTTACAGTACTTCACCCCCCCCCCCCCCATCTCTGGGCCAGATGCCCAGGTCGCAGACTGAAGACTAAAGCATTACTAAAGGATGTTCACACTGACAGTGCCTTGAGACTCACATTGTCACACAGAGGATGAGGGTGTATGGAAAAGCGTTAGAACATCCAGGAAGAATCACTGTGTGTGTCTTCACTTCACTACACATGCAGTCATATGTACCCCCCCCCCCATCCACCAAATTTAAAAGAATTTAATTCATAAAATGAACTGGAAAATTACACACTAAAGAAAAAAGCCGGGGGGGCGGATGGGCAGAAGCATCACTAGAGATTTATGGGCTCAGCCTTTACTAGCAGGGGTCTGATTTTAATGAACACACGTTGTAGGCTAATGCCCCCCCTAAAACAGCCATAGCAATGCTGCTGGTGGGGGGGAATGAAGTATGGGATCCACAGCACTCAACCATATCAGGGGCTTTGAGGTTCAGGCCATCCCCAAAATGTAATGGCACATATGGGGCAGATGGTGGCGTGGCAGTTAAGGACATAGATTCATCTTGGGATGGTTTGAAAAACCGGTCCCAGCTCTGGAAGAAATGCAATATCTACCAAAACAAAGTGTAAATGCTAAAACTTCAGCCCCAAAACATACATTAAAAACAAGACACAGAATGCTGTGCAAGTGAGATGTGCTGCTTGTACAAAATTCAAATCAAATTAAACCAGTAATTACAACAGTCTGTCTCACAGACTATAAATATTTGACCTTTTTCCCTGTAATTTGAATGAAAAATCAACGGTGCATCTTCACAAGTAAACTATAACTCAAAAATAAAATATTATTAGATAAGGCATTAAACCAGCATGCACATTAACTAAGCAATTAAACAAAGGACAAATCAATGTCAATGTAATGCAGAAGAGAAAAAAATAATACTCCCATGTGATTAGATTTTATGGTGGATGAGGAGTGACACAATCATTAGGTCTATGTTCATTTACCATAAGCATTTACAGCATCAGAGGCTTCGTTTACTTTTAAATGTAATTTAGAATATATCACTAAGCCACAGAGCAATTCTGGTGTATATAGAAGGAATTAACCGCTCAAGGTGACATGGACGAAGGGAGTGTCGAAACGCTGAGAGTGTCTAGTGACACTCCAGGGCTTTAGCTCTGGTTCCTATAGAAACCAACTTTGTCAGGAATGCACATCTGTAATTCAAAGGCCTGAAAGACAGAAACACCTAATTTTATAATAAATGACTCACAGGTATGTCTGCAGACTAGTGCAAAGCAGGACCTGATTGGTTAGTCAAAACGGTGACTAATCAGCAGATCAACAGGTGTGTTTGTGTATTTCTGCACCCGGATCATAGACAATATATAAGTCAAATGTATAATTCTGGTGTGTCTGGTGCTAAAAGCGTTTTACTGGTGTTTTGCTCAGAGTCTTGTACAGGTTTAACCTGAAGGACGACTTATCCCTCACAGTAAAGTCATCAGCACCTGAAAGGAGCTCCCTCTCATTCCAGTCAAACTTCTAGATAATTAAATAAAAATGCATATGCCAGAGGTTATGTGGCTTCACTGCATACAGGAGTGAGGGAAGGAAGGATAGAGAGAAAAAGGATAAATACTTTGGAGCTGAATAAAAAACCAGACGTGGGCTTTTTTAAATAATTGACTCATTCCCAGCTGTGAACCACAAGAGTCTTAAAACAGCAGCACTGAGCTTTTCTCAGCACATCATTCAAAAAAATGAGTCCCGATTCCGAGAAAACACACCACCGATGCAGATGTAAGGATGAGCAACACTGATTCTCTGATCTAGGATCAATTCCTGCAAAGACATCCAAAAGAAAACAAGGGAACGGTGACAGAAGCGGTTACAAGGCGGACAGCCAAACAGATAAAGTCCACAGAGGTCTGGTGGCCCACACACACGCCTCCAGGTCCACGTTGGTCATGGGGACGGCATATCTAGCTCATATCGGTGCTGGGTTTTGGCGGGGGTGAGGATCCGGCGCATTAATCAAGTTCCTTCCTCTGGCTCGGTGGAAATTCCTCACAAACAATAAGAAATGCTGAGAGAGAGCTGTGGGAGGCACTGCTCGATTCCCACTGCAACTGCCGGGCCACTTGAAAAACACGACTTCCCACAAAATCTTTCCTTGTGCTCTGTTTTTCATGCCCCCAGTAATTTGAAAGAGCTATACACTTATTTATTAATAATAAATCATTAATCCTTGTTCAAAGCTGCTATTAAAAGAAAAAGTGACTGAAACCATTCTAATTATTTTCTATTATTAGCACTGAATACCTTCTGAGATTCCAATTCTGAAGAGTGCAAAAAAAACAAAACAGGAGATTCATTACAAAGAGATGCCCCCAGACATGTTTAAACTTTCTTCAGACCTCAAATGGTTTTCATATCTGTCTTTTTGCCCACTGAGGTTTGAACCTTCCTTACATGCATTTTTTGTCTGTTTTGTGATGCTGTGGTTTTCCATTCACAATGCAAGGCCACAGCCGTCCCCTCAACGAGCTTCTGAGTGCAGTATGCAGGGAGCAGACCTCAGTATGGGGGTAGCATGCCTCCGTATGCAGGGAGCAGACCTCAGTATGCAGGCAACTGACCCACAGGTCCGGGACGTTCATGCAAGTTGTGTGCCCACTTTCGGTAACAAAGATGTCAACAAGAGGGCATGTCAGTAAACTAGTTGGTGATTTGCCTGACTGACAGACAGACAAACAGACACACACACACAATGTCTCCTGTTCTTATTTAAAAACCACCCCTTACTCCTAAACCACTGAAGCAACCAAAAGTCATTAAAGTCAAACAAAACTTTGAAAAAGCGCTTTTTAAAAAACAATTTTTAAAACAAAAAAACTGCTGCTCTGCAGAGTCCTTCCAAACTGCCACATTTCGCACTTTGCATCATACAGTTTGAACCTTAATACAAACAGTGTCCATTGCAGACCCACTTAAAGCAGAGAAAACAGTAAGTTACTATCTGGGTAATACATCTGTGTAATTACAGGGTGCGCACGCGTACACACACACACACACACACACACACATACCTATGAGCATAGAAAACATTCATTTGCTAGAATTTGATGTAGAAATACAAACCGTATTTCATTTAGCATGTGAGTAAGTGAATATATGAACAGTGGTGGCCTCAAATCCCTTAGAGCAGGGGAGGACAATCTTATCCACGAAGGATAAGGTTTTTGCTGCAAATCACTAATTAGATTACTAGGGAGAGGACTAATTGGCTGCAGAGTCCTCACACCTGGGTTTGAACAGCCGTCCTAAAGGTTATCCCAAAAACCTACACAGACACCGGCCCTTTGCGGATAAGATCGCCCACTCCTGCCTTAGAGGGTGCCTCTGTGCTTCCTGGCACAGCCCCTAGGCTCTCTACAATCCAGAACTACACAGATGGGTATTAAAGTATTACATGAGCAATACCTTAAGCAAACATGTTCTACAACACCACTGTCTTCCTTTCCCAGCTGCCAGCTTCGTTTAGAAGCAGGCCTCTACCAAACTGGATGTATTTTTGAACGACATGCCTTCAGCGCTCCAGGATCTGCTGGAAATACCAGTAAAGAGGTAGAAATGCAGTTCTTGCTGATTAGCGCAAGACGTTACTGGTGAAAGTATTGTACCATTTTCCACTTACTAAAGATGACAACACTTTAGTCAATGTTGGAATTTACAGTGTTAGAAAATGCTGATACAGTTGTATAATGAAACAAAGCTCTCTTCTGCCTTTTTTCCAGAACCACAGTGGATCTTGTCTGGCTTTCTGAGATTAAGTTTGCAAACCACTGATATGCTTGCTGCCATGAATGACCGTTAGTCATGCTTGCACTTTCACTTGTTTTCCAGATTAAAAGCTTTCGATACTGTAGTAACCACAAAACTAAAAACTGAACAGCTAGATGAGAAACAAAGGAGAGGATGAGATGTAATGTGAGACACGAAAAGCCAGGTTTCTTCAGCAAGTGCTACATAGGTGCATTTGGGGTCCATAACCTCAGGTACTGATTTGTGTCCAAATTTTGGTAAATGAGCTCATGTTGATAAACACAGAAAACAAAAACATGGCCTTAAGTCAGTATAAAGAGACGTTTCAGAGAAGAAGGTGCGATTATGCAAACAGCATGGGTCCTGTTGCCTGCCAGCTCTTGCTTTTTCCCTGGGAGAGTAGGCATTGGGCTTCTGAAATCTTTATCTCCAAGCACTTCTGAATAGCTTCCATATGGGAAACCCCAATTAACCAAATCCCAAACACATACAAAAAAGTGTGGACATTCTCTTTGGAGAAAACTCACTGAATAAAAATAAAATACTAATGTATTCATCCACCCACACATCCCTCCATCCAATAAGAGCTGCATATCCGGGATAGAGACACGGTGAACCTGTTGCCCATCCCAGCAAGCAACAGGGCACGAGGTTCCTACAGGATTTCAGTCCATCGCAGAGCTATAGCACTTTAATTATCAACAATCACAAATTAATTACTAAATGTTAGCAACTAGCAATTAGTAATTACGTACCAACGTACTAATTATTAAATACCCTGTGATATAATCTTTAACTGAAACACATAAATGGACTTGATGTAGATTTTTAGAAAATGACATACATAACTGTTGAATTAAGTAGACACCAAAAATGTCAAATTTAACTCTTAACAGGAATCTTCTGACTTTGCACGAGCTCCAGCTTAGAGGACAATAATAAGGTGGAAGGACATGAGGACGACGCAGTGGCAACGTGACAAGGGCGAGACAACAATCGGAGGGCGGCGGGACTACAATGGCAGAATGGCAGTGTGACAATGGGGGAACGGCATGAGAACGGCGCATCAAACAGCCCCAGGAAGGTTGGATTTCCAGCGCGGAGCTGCGACTCTGCGGCTGATCCTGTTTCCAGTATCCCTTCACAGGGTCACCCACATGACTCACAAATTAAACTTTTATCCTGCAGCAATTAATATCGTCTGAGGCTGCGGTTTCAAATTAAGCTGGCAGGTATTCAGCTAAATATTTAATACTCGAATGAAACAGTTGACTCCTCGCAAAAACGTTTTACCCACAGCAGTAAGGCGTTCCTTTAAATCATTAAGAATTAATAAACCCAGAGAGTTAAGTCAGTACTAACTATTCTTGTTAGTTATTCGTTTGGGAAGTACGGAACACAGGGAAACAATTACAGCCACAGCAGTGGGAAATAGTTCAAACTGAGAAGCTGTTTAATTAATGCTGGTCAATTAATGTTATCCGTAACGACTGAACATGGTAAACCTTTTAATTATTTTTCTTGTCGCCTCTTCCTGTGCATCCTGACTATCGCCATTGCTATGTTCACCTCCCATCTAGAGCTCTGGAAACTCCATAAACAGACAGTGGGTGGAATCTTCGTAATAAACTCTCAAAATAATACATACACACACTCACACACAATACCCACCCTTCATTCTCCACTGTCTCTGCCTTTTATTAAAAGATGAAGACATACTCTACTAAACATACACATAGGCTTTGGTATTTCAATCCGGTAGAGAATGGTAATTACAATATGAGACACTGAAAACCTGTTAAACAAAGTGCAAATCACTTAACCTAGAAGGCAGATTATAAAGTAAAAGCACCTGAAGTGGCAGCACAGAAATAAATATCTTTCTAGATTCATTAACAATATTGGTTTACTTGGACGTAAACCAGTCAGCACTCAGGGCTCCGGGGAACTTTCCCTCGTCTCTGATGTGCTCTGAGGTCGGCTGCTGTTCACATCCAACGCAGCCGTGGTGAAAGTGGAGAGACGACCGTTTCGCGGTTCCCCCGTCCCCTGACGTGAACCCACTGCAAAGACTGTGGTGCGTTTGTACAGGTGGTGCCACATGCACGGACAGGCAAGGCCTCCCGCCGTTTACCATGCGCGGGCCCCAAACACAGCACTGCAGTGTCAGACAAATGCAGTGCGCTGAACACCAGGGTTGTCGAGAGCCACGGTTTTGCTGCAGACCCCATGGGACGCTGGTGAGCAGCGGAACAGTAACAGCTGACAAAATTTGGTAAGCTCCCCCCGCCAAATGTCCCCAGGGAGCAGAGAAACAGAAAAACACACAGATTTAACGTTAAACGGCTTTCCTGTGACTGTTCAGTGAAGATGTCCCAGGAATCCCATCATCTGCTTAAAAAGCACGAGAGAAGCTTCGTGCTTCCTTTTGCGTTTCAGCGTTTCATCCCCCAGCAGTAATGCTCAAGGCGTTTGCTAAAGGTACAGCTGCCATGTGGAACATGGACTTCTCTCCTCGCTGGCATGTGCTGAGGCTGCGGCAGGGCTACGGTGCTTCCCCCCCCTCGCCCATGTTGCCCCTCTCCCGGGGCGAGAAGGCGGTGGCGGAATCCACAGCTGTCAGGAGCATTTGGGCCCTCCGCCTCCGAAATGGCCTCACTTAAGGTTTGCATTAACACACGCGTGTGTATTTATAGCACGCCGCTGCCTGTGCGCACTTGTGTGCGTCTGTGTGTGCGCAAGTCGTGTGTCTGTCATTCTGCACAGTGTGGCCACACGACCTGAGGAAGCTGTTACCCAGCGGACAGAGTGTGGCCTTTCTGGGTCCTCTGCAATATGGACTCGAGGTCCAGCCAGCTGCCTCCCAGAGATACTTCTCCGTCTTCCCAAAAATCCAGTGTTGTTATGTGGCTTTTTACTGTAAGTATGGCTGAATCACTGCCGTTAACAGGATTTCTCTGTGGAGCTTATGCAAAGAGGGTGATTTTGGGGATTTTTATAACACATGTAACTAAAAATGCAGAAAGGACACCCAAATAAAAGTTTCAAACTGCTCCTTTCAAAGTCTGACTTTTAAGATTTATTTTTAGAATGGCATAATTAAAGTTATTAAACTATATTTTAACTACTTATCCAGGGCAGTGTTTTTACAATGTTATATATTTAAAAATACTGCCGATCCATTATCTTAATTTGATAAAGACTATCATTTCTACTAACTAATAACGGTTTTACATTCATATTAAATTAAACCAAAAAATAACCCGAGACACACAGCAAAGCATGGAATCAGGTACGGAGTAACCTTTTTATTCCAGTCTTTAAGGTCAGCATTGCAGAGTGTATTTGGACTGAGTCAAGCCTTCCAAATTAACACCCCATTCTGCTCCACCAGATTTACTAATGTGAATGTCTGAGGATGTTTCAGCACTGTGATCAATCATGCAATACACTGCATGTGAAAATAAGTACAACTACAGTTAACCTCTGGGTTCAGGGTCAGCTTTTGTAAAGTCAAAATCTTTAATGAAGTGCTCTCACATTGCTGAGCTACAGGCTCAAGATTTACACAACACAAGCATGTGTGTTAGATCTATGACAAAGTCAACAAGGGTGTACTTCAAGCAAATACTGTACAGGCACGGTCGGAATACATTTTACGGTTTTCAAGCTATTAGTGATTAAAAAAAATAAACAGCCTTTCGAAGGAAACTAATATGGCCAGGAGAGCTGACTTCCTTACTGAAGCCTCCTCCTCTCAATTGCTACCTCTTTCTAAAACCATCCATGCTATCTAATTAAATGCAAGGGAACACACAGGGGGAAATCCCGAAAGATAAGCAGAGCTGCTAAAAACGGCTCATAGAGGTTTGCATTATGCTTTTTTGCCCCTTGTCACAGCACATTTCGTCTGTTCCCTTAATGCAACTCTCACTGTAACCCTGTACTAGATAAGCAATAATGGAAGATGGATAAATGAAGGAATCACCAAATTACTAGTGAGCATCTAAGCATCTCTCTCAGGGTTGCAGTGTTAAACCAACACCAAGAGCATTAAATGATTACCTCTGCAGGTTTTTGATTATAGTAATTTGATATCCTCCACACTGCAACAATGAAGAGATATACAGATCCTTATTCTCCTCATTAACTGCAGGGAAAACACTGGACAACTTAGTAGATGAGGTCATCAAACATGGTCATATGCTCTAGGCAAGTCATATGGAGGGACTGTGCAGTGGTGTCAGGTGATCTGCTGTCTTTAAAGGGCCCATGACATGTGATTGTGTCTGTGGGACCTGTGATGGACTGACATCTCATTCAAGGTTTCCTTAATCTTGGGCCCTGCGCTTCCGGGCCCCAGGTTCACTGTAATCTTGTACTTGAAAATCAGTACAGAAATTGATGGACTGATGAATACCCATTAAATTCTTAAGGTCAGTGGTTTTCAGTAAATATTGCTAAAGTGAAACAATGGAGCATTACATAAACAAGCCTGACACTTTATCCATCTTTTAACAAGAACTCCTCCCAGGCAAACCGAAGTATTTAAAGTGTTTGTGTTTACAGTCTACAGCCCATAAAATCCAAGACTTTGTCAAACAACTACTATTAATCACAAAGTAAACAAAGACATTCCTTATTTTCAACCACAGTAAACTCACAAGTTGTCCAGTTACACTGCAATAGATTTAAGTGATACTTATATTTTCATGTACATTTTCTAATACTAAAACCAGTTTCTGTTGTTATTTATCTTAATACGTTGTTATGCTTTAAAATTACAGTAATTCATTACGCCATATTAGTGGGGATGTTGCGTTTGTTTTTGCAACTACATGGCGACCTAAAATATCTTTAGTCCCAATAATTCCCTCAACTCTTCTACTCCATAATGAGTGTAGAGAGTTTCTTCCATAATCCCGTAAAGTTTTATTTACAAACCGCTTCTGGAAGTGAGCAAACTGTCAAATGTAGCCAAGAACAGCGTGGACCAGCGTTCGGCTTCCAGCTAGCGATTTCATACACTAGCCATGACCAAATAAAAAACCGATTCATTTACGGTTAGTTTGTAGTAACAATCAACAGCGTCATAATCCATCGAGTGCTATCAAAATTATTACCTTGGGGGCACAGGCACATCTCAATTCACTGCGTGCTATGGAACTACGGTCGGTTAATGGTAGTCATCTGAACGCCTACAAATATATATTTTTTGAAATATTGGTTGAAACTGCGTGATAGACGCCCAATTCTGCCGTTCCTGAGCGGACAGGTACTGTATAGTATGACGTCCGCATGGACTGTTTTCGCCCTTCAGTCTCCCTCCCTATATACATTAATGCATTTCATTAGTGGTACGGCGAACAAAACAAGGATTTGCAATATTCTTTTTATGTAGGTTTTGCATTTGAGCTCCAGCTGTGCTCTGGCACTGAAGACAGAGGGAAAAGGATCGCCTTACCTGTGTGGTAACAGGTTACCCGATCCCAGACCGGTGCGACTAATCCGTTTAAGTATAAAAGCGGGTACAGCGATGGCAGGTAGAGCACGGTCTCCCGCCCCAGCCCCATTCAATCCACATGTCGTCATGTAGGCTACTGTAAGGTGATTCACTAGTCAATGTAAATTAAAACTAAGCCCGCATTTAAGCTCAGGGAATCCGCATGCAATTCGGCCAAACATTAATGATCGAAGTAATTTAACACGCCGTTTTTCACCTTATTCTACTGAACTTGCACTCTTCGCAACTCTTGGTATTTACTTAAAATATTGATAAATGCTGTTTGACAGATACTAGTAAGAGCAGGTCCTCGACACCAGAACGCAGATCACATACTGAATAGTTTTTTTTTTCTTAAATATCAGGGGGAAAAAAACGACAGTCACTTTTTAAATTTAATTAAGAAAATGTTCCGTAAAAAAATTAAACACGCTAGACCCAGGGGTGGAGAGGGAAATGTCTTATCAAGAAGGAAAAGCAAGATTGCAGTAATTACATCTACATATGTAGCTAAATAAGCCACAGACACGATTTAGCCCACTGAAGATAATACCACTGCGACAACAAGTTTAATATTACCTCCTAGTATATTTACATCCATATAAATCTAATTTATGACATAATATTGAGAAAACTGTTTGCCGGGCGTCCCTATACAGTATATACTATGTAATGCCACAACAATCCCAATAACTAACCTAATTGAACGTAGAGAAATAGATTATAGCTGGTTATTTAAAATTTCTCACGTAAGTTTAACGATTATTGGTTTATGTCGATATTCGAGCTTTTTTATATAAGCAAAAACAACGTTTTACAACTACCATATACCGGGTCACTGCCCTACATGGATGTTGTGCGATTCACTGCCTGATTCTGCTGATATGTCACTGCATTACAGGCGTTACATGAAAAATTAAAATGACTTACCAGTTTGTACCGCAAAAGACCTGTCCCGTTTCTGCGTTTCTATAGTCGGACCAAAAGCCGTATTTCCACCTGTGAGGACAATGAAACAAGGTGAGGGTGATGTTTTAATTCATCAATGGAACGATTATTCTTGCAGCCTACTTCTGTCTCAAGCATGCATTCAAAGACGCGTTTTAATATAGCTGCAATCCAGATTACACAAGCTACTGAAAGCGTTTTCAAAATGTTATTGGAGTGTCACAAACCTGTTTTGTTTCATCGAACACCTACGTTTGTCGCACATATGTCAAAATGTATCATAAATGTTGTCCTGTAAGAGTCGTTTCGCAATATGTATAAAAAAAATCAAAAGACTCACTTCTTCTGAAAAACCATGCCAACTGACCGAAGACTAAACACTAACTGTACGATTTCAATATTTATAAATTGTATTATTTCTTTCGGAAATAAATTCCTTGTGTTAAAATGAGATTTTCAATTACCCTACCAGCAAGATCCCTGATAAGACTTGAGATTTACGCTTCAAATTTGTACGTGTGCGGATATATTTCTAAGCAAGATTCTAACTGTGCTGCATTTTCAGCGTTAACAAACCAGGAAAAGTATAATAGTATGGTATTAATTAGGAGCCGGACACGTCGCTGAGGTAAGTGGCTTGTTTCATCCTCTTCCCTGATTTCACTAAACCGCTTCTTAAATATGCGGATAAGCGCAGGAGCTTAAGAGACGAGGGACGCACAGCGAGCGGAGCAGCGCAAGGAGACCGAGCGGCGAAAACAAGCGAGTCCAGCCCCACAGGAAACGAGAATAGGCGGGCAGCACCAAAAATAGCCTTGACATCAACACGACTTCTGTATCTCATTGTTTTCACGGCGGGGCAGTCTATTGGCGAACTATGCGCCCAACCCGACTCTGCTCCCTCAATCTTCCCTGCGCTGCTGAGACCTTTCGCGGCTCTGTGGCTCCACCTGTTGAAGCACCCGCGGGTTTTCACGGCAAACCGACATGCATCCTCAGACATCAAAAAATAAGCGTGAGGCGAAGAAACAGCTCCGCTAGCAGGGTTCTCCCTGACTTAGTCAGGACTGAAAAACAGCTATGGGGAAGGCCCTGAGGTACACTGTCAGAGAAAAAGTACCAATTGCTGCCTTTGAATGTACAATTACTTGTTACTGGGGCTGTACCCTCAAGGGTCTGCCAGTTGTACCATAGCTGTAGGTAAATTTACCTTTTAGTCTAATTTAAGGTACAGAAATGGATTCTGATGAACATTTTTGTACCATTGTGGTAATGTTACTGCACCTTGAATAAAAAAATTGTACAAGGCTGTACCCTTTTTTTCTGACAGAGCATAGAGCATACGTAAATAGGCCAACATGAATTTTCAACAAAAACATAACCTTGCTACCATGTCACAAAAAGCACTGTTCTTCACTTTCACTACATTCCAAGCAAGTATAGAAAGTCTTTGTGGCTTGATTCCCAAATGAATGCAAGCAACTTGTATGACGGAAGGACATCCATCCAATTTCTGTGACCACTTGACCTATTCAGGGTTGCAGGGCAGTCTGGAATCTATCCTGGAAGATATGGGCACAAGGCAGGGAACGACCCAGGATGGGGCACCAACCCATCACAAGCCACACCCACAAAGACAATTTGGCAACTCCAAGTAACCTCAGCATGTTTTTGGACAGTGAGGGGGAAACCAGAATATCCAGAGGAAACCCCATGACAACACATGGAGAACATAGAAACATGGACCCCTGGCAGAGACTGGAACCCCCCTTTAACTAAAGGACACTAAAATTGAAATCAGGTATCTGCAGTTATTTCTTGAATTAAAAAAATCAAATGGAAAGAAATCCTAAGTGAATTTAGTGGGTTTTTTTAAATAAAAAAGAACATTCTGGAACTCAGATGGTACAAAGGGTTGGAGTTATCAGGTGCCAAGCTCTAATATGTACAAAGTGAGCCAAGAACTTTACTCGCCAATAAACTTTCTCTTGATTTTCCAGTCTTTTTTTCCCCTCCACAAAGCAACCAGGTTCTGTGGTTGGCTGTGAAGGGGATGGATATACACAGAAAGAAACCTGCTTATTCATCATCCTGTTATCAGCCACTGTCATCAGCTGTGCACATAGACTAAATGAATGTGTTTCTTTACTGTGTTTGGTTCCAGATTCATCTGTCTCTTAATACCTTAATTATTTGTTTACTGCTTTATACTCAAGGGACAAAGGTGAACATCTGCAGTCCATCCGTCCAGGTTCCAACTGCTTATCCAGTACAGGGTGGCAGTATCTTATTTACAATGACAACCTCACGTCATCTGGTTTGTGACGGTCAATACCTCTAGCTTGTAAGGTATCCTAAAACCTTCAAAAACCAAGTCATCTGAGAAGCAGAGAGGGGAAATTGTACAAGACACATGCTCTTCTGCATATACAGTAACTGCTGATAAATATGATATGTGCACTGAGATGGACTGGCATCCCATCCAGGGTGTCCCCTACCTTATGTCCTGAGATTCCTAGGACAGGCATCAGGATCACCGCAACCCTGTTCTGGATAAGTGGTATGGAAGATGAATGGACAGATAAATATGATATGTATGTGAATGTCATTGCTACCCACTTCTCATGTTTTTTACATTGTCCTTCCTTCTGCTGCCTTCAATACAACAAGAATCTGTAACATATTGGTAGTTTGTTTTGTGTTCCTTGCATCTTTCAATCCTACACCCTTTCATAAAATGTTTTGATTCTCCATAAACTCTCCCAACATTTATTACACTGGATATATAGCACATGATTAATGCCGTTATTTTTGCAGTGCCTGGGAAAGTGAGGCCGAGAACGAAAGCGGGGATGGGATATTCTGGAATGTGATGGAGAGAAAGCGTGAGGGAGCAAGCGGCAGGGAGAATGGGGCAAGGATGTGTGTTGCCTGCAGTGGGATCCCTCTCTCAGGAAGCCATCCGGAATGCCAGGAATGCCGGCAGAGGCAGCAGCCCCAACCAACACAGATGGCTGGGGCCAGGCAGGGAGGTGGTGTGAGAGGGCTGGGCAGGGATGGGTGGGGGCAGTGGGGTAGAGAGAGTAATGAAGAGAAGAGCCAGAAGAAAAAGTAAGAGGCAGTACAGAAAAAAGTGGGTGGAGAGAGGGTGTGGTGCAGTGTTGTTGTAGTTTGGCTCTGAGACTCCAAGATAACTACTCCCAGACCAGAAAAAACTCCCTCTCTGAGAATCCAGAGCATCTATGTGTATACATTTAAATATGCACAAACATAACTGTCACGCATCTGGTGAAACATCTCAAATTAGATACTTGCCATTTTGCACATTTATACCATGACCACATCATGCTGACAACAGCCAGGATGATAAAGGACGACAACATAAGTGTAAAAAATTACAAAAAATCAGGCACGTAAAGTCATACCCATTGGCCTGATGGTGGCTCTATAGCGCAATGTTCTACGTTTTGGCCTACAGTATATCTCCGGAATCGTGAGTCACAAAAACAAAGTTCTTTTTTCCAGACATGCCCTGGTTCATGCCAAGAAATATCAAATTGGGACTATGAAGCTCCAGCTAGATTTTCAGCTAATTTGCATAATATGAAAAATCTACATTTTCTGAACTTGTCCTAGACTGTCCATCTGAATTACACAAAACTTGAACTATACCACCCTGAGACAATGCAGAAAAAAAGTTGTCTGAAGGATTTTGATCAGGGAAATTGTTCCTATGTTACAAAGGAAATTCTTGCGTGTCATTTTTGCACTTAATGACCAATTTCTCATCAACAGAACATCAGATCCTCACCAAACTTGCTGTATTTAGCTTCATTCTGAAGCCACTCCACAAATTTCAAAAAAATAACACAGTAGGAGGCGCTACAACTCAAAATGTCTTATTAGTCAGGAACCACCTGACACAAAGATTAAATTTTGTAGACGTATTCATGGCCAGATGTCCCAACTAATCATTTAATAAAAGTTCATCTACTCATTAAACATGGCTGACATTGGCCCTTATACAGCAATGTAAATATCATAAAGCCATATCATAGGCAAAGTGCTTCGTGCCAAATTTCTTATATCCAAAGGTGTCAAGTATCTCAGTTTATCCGTAAGTCACGTTTTTCAGCCCATGTCGATACACAGGTGTGAAATGCAAATCTCACGGACCGCCATGCACTAAAACCAAAAACAAAATGAAGCAGAACGGCCGGGAATGCATGATTAAAGCCGGCAGCAGGTTGCACCGTCGCCCCCTGGCTGGGAAGTTTAAAGAGATGCCTTTTTTTTTTTGACGGCTCACTATTTTTACCAAATGATAGCCTACATTATCACCCATCTCACCATTTTCACTGGATCTTACCAATGCGATATCACCTAATCAAGCCAAGTGAACAATAAATATTTCGTACAATATCTCATTTTTCTGTTGTCATCTTTCCTTCTCGTCACAGGCTGCGGCAGATAACTTACTGAAACACTCTTTATGGACTGGAACCCATAAATGTGGCAGAATATAATAGCATAAGACAGACTTTTATATTGGAATATTGTGTGTGGGTGCCTTTGGGGGGCAAAAATGATCAAAATTAAAAGGTTCATATTTTTATAGGGAGCGAGGCGCAGTATATACATCCCCTCCACGTTCCTACGCCCCTGCCCTAACAGTAGGCCTACCTTGGCCTCCAGCTCCCACTAAAAAGCCGGTTATATCGGCCTGCCCAGCATGCTTATACCAATGAACGTGGAAGGAGACTTGAGCCGGGTGAGGCAGCAATTTATATCTTAAACACTTTCACTTTTTTAATGTACGATTGTTTTTCCCCAACACCTACATTTCGCATTGCTCATCTGCGGCACAACCAAATTGTTAGCTTTAAGTAATCCCGGGAAATTTCGACAGATTAAATGGTAACCGCAGCTCTAAATAGAACACTTCAAAACCGAAAAAGTGACACCTAACTCCTACTCGTTTCAAAAACAACAAGATCAATGAAGTGGGGGACGAAAAGAGAAAGCGGAGGATGACAAGCGGCCGGCTCCGGCTCCGGCTCCCTGCCCTCGTCGGGATTCCCTTTCTCGGGCGGTGAGTCAGGTCTCTTCCTCCTCTCTCCATGGCTCCGCTGTGCAGGCGCTTCACACTTAGACGGACAGCCCCGCAGTGTACCGGACAAACCACAATTTGCACGAAAATAACAAAAAAAAGTCACATTTTCCACTTTTTAACCTCCCCAATCTGCGCGGCGATGGAATTTGCTAGAATCCCCCAAGTCGCATGATTCATTTGGATGTTTTTCTCGAAACGACAGAACAGCAGCCGTTAACGCATTTGAAAACCGAAATCTGTCCTTCTAATATACAAAGTCGTATATATGCTCAAAAACTGATGATTGCCTTCTGACAGGATTTATTTTAAAGATGGAAACAGACTGTCCATCTGAGACCTCAGCTGCAAAATGAGTTTACCATTAATATGCAAATCCCGACGGCACGTCCACTCGCAAGCAAAGTAATCCGAAGAAAATAGTAATGTATGCGGATCCAGTGCGGCTGAGGCTCCTGTACTAGTATTTCCATACGGAGTGAGATTTGCTAGTCTGATATGAGACCACCTGAAGACTATCCCAGCTGCCACGGGAAAATTTATCTATATTTTCTATAACGACGAAGGAATATAGTTGGGTGTGACCAGCAAACAGAATATAAACAGAAAGAACCAAACATCGGGTACTGCGTCATCTAAACGGAGAGCTCCTTATGTCAGATGGGGACCGTAAAGTAGGTGGCCTCCTATAGCTGAATCGAGAAGATCATTTCTGCTTGAAGCGAAACCAAACAGTAATTATCTTTGTTTGTTTTTTATGCATTATTTACTTAGATTGTTTAGCAACCTTTTAAGTTTATTTAGTGGAAATGGGTTGAATTGGCCTATGTGTACGTTGTAAATGAAACCTTTCAACATAAAAACTTTGTATGTTACCAAGCCAGCTGTCCCGTTTATGAATCGCCAAGTTAATTGTTAAAGATGTGGAAGATCGATCTTAACATCGATCTTAAGACACTGTGTCGTCTGGGGGAAAAGGCACGTGGGACTTTATATTTACAAGATTTATAGTATCGCCACGCACTTGATAACACCGGCAGAACTGAATTTCAATATTTAAAAGATATATTTGTATGCCAAATACTTACTCCAGAGTAAATGGGGAATCAATGCGATTATTAGACATAAATTTACATCTTCAGCGCAACATTACCACAAAGCTCAGTGGTTATCATATATAGTTCAACACTTTACAAGATTTCGTCTGGTGAGTAAATGCAGTGCGTGCATTTGGTCACAAGGTGGAGTGTCAGCCAGCTGCTGAAATTTTTACTGTGAACTAATTGACAAAAAAGAATGAAATACTTATTAAATAATCTTTCTGGCATTGCAGGTTTGTTAACTTGCATGGTAAGCGCAAAGTATTGGGGTATATAGACCTTGAATGGTCACTTTGCAGTTAGATTTCTTAACGTGTTTACCAAGTAGGGGGAGCTAATCAACGACACTTAATCCATCAGCAAAGTGATTAGACAGAGACACTCCTCACTAACAAACATTACAGGGCACAGTATACCAGCCACAGTATTCTGATCCCATCTCTAATGATATTCTCAGTATACCACAACATGCATAGTGCATTAGCCACGATTTTACAGCAAAGATGTTTTGACAGCAGGTGCATCATGAGAATTCACATCAGTTAAACTAGCTTCTTATAGAATTCAATAGCTGCATGAAGGCTACCCAACCCTGCTCTTGGAGACCTACCACCCGGCAGAGCTTAGGTGCAGCCCTAATGTAACACACCTGATACAGAGTAGCATGTCAGCATTAGAGCCAGCAATGTGGTAGGATGGGCCTGCTTTCTGTATCAGGTGTGCTAATCAGGGCGGCCCCTACGCTCTGTAGGGTGGTACATTCCCAGGAGCAGGGTTGGGCAGCCCTGCTGTACATCAATAATCATGTATCTTAGCCAACAGGGCCAGCCTACCTGATACATGACATAGGTGATCGCCTAGGGTGCCATTTTATTAGGGAGTGCAAAAAAGGCAAGTGAAACAAACAAATACCTCTAGTTGCATTAGATGATATCTGCCAGTTATACTGGTTTTACTATTTCAGTACTTTTTGTGAAACAAATGTGAGCTAGCTAGTTAGCAGTCAGATAGCCGGTGCTACTGAAATGTTTTTAATATAAATTAATTGACAAAATTTGTTTTCTGTGGCACTCCACAGAATCTTACTTAGGGTGCTAGAATACCCATGGCTGGCCCTGTTAGCCAATCTCATTTTCCTGTGCCAGTTTAACAGAAATGCCCCCTACCACTGCAGTGACAGCTATGGCTAAATCATGTTGATTGTCTGGCCACCTGTTGCTGTCAAAGGACATGTTACACATCAAAGGTGAAACTTGTAGCAACAGTATCATCACAAGAAGGTCCTAAGGTTGCTACTTCAACCAATTAGCTGATTTTTGTCTGGAAACAGATCAGATTCCTTGATCCCCCTGATAGAAAATCATGTGATGAGGTGCAGCTGTTAGTGAGATATACCAGCTTAACTTGTTAACCACAATAAATGCCACACAGTACTTAACCTCTCTGGAAGTAACAAAAAATCATCTGCAATCATGCTAATGCAAGAACAAGTGTTTTACTGCTTAAATCATGGGTGGCCAATCTTATCCGCAAAGGGCTGGTGTGTATGCAGGTTTTTGGGATAACCTGTAGATCAGCTGTTCAAACCCATGTATGAGGACTCTTCAGCCAATCAGTCCTCTACTTAGTAATCTAATTAGGGAGTTGCAGCGAAAACCCGCATACACACAAGCCCTTTGCGGAAAAGATTGGCCACCCCTGGCTTAAATGGTCACAAATCATCTGCAGACCGATTTTCTTGGACATTTCAACGGAGGGCCATATAAGTGAAGCAGGGACTGGACCCAGTAACAAAATGTCTATGCCCTACATCCTCCTTTCTGGCCTCTGCACAGCATCTTGCATAAGGAGGCATGAAGGTTTATGGGGACCCTGTGGGGAGAACTGAAGCGGTATGCGGCGGTTCCGGGGTTGAAATTAACCACACTTGTCAGATCACTCAATCTCAAGGGGTTTCTGCAAGTGTAGTCCAGTGGCAGTGTTTAGTGTACAGTGAAAAGAAAAAATCTCTCATGAACACAACGGAGGTGGGAGGTGCGGAGCTGGGTGACAGGAAACTGACATTTCCTGCCCAGACCAGAGGGGCTACATACAGTGTGATGTACTGCACGTGTAGATGTGCGCACGCGCGTGCATGTATAAAGATGTCAGATAGTTTATATCGATGTTTTCTGGGATTCTGTGTCTGATACTTCGTAATTCTAGCACGATTAAAAGCATGAACGCATTTTTGTTTACCTTGTTTGAAAATCTTGAATGAATGACTTCGAATTATCCGTATCGCAGACGCATTCATCTGCTTTTATATATATAAAACCCCTCATCTTAGCGCATAATTATAGAATAATAACATGTGTTAGTTGGGCGATGCATCATCTATAGTTAACTGCCCAAAGAGGCGGGCGACATAATAACTTTCCGTTAACGCATCAGAAAACACGCGAACATTTAAAACTGACAACTCTACGGTTCAGCTCAGCTGAAGGCGAGCAGTTTGGAGGGCTTTCAGGATGTAAACCTGGGAAGTAGGAGCCGGCAGAGAGACAAATGGAAAACGTGCTGGTGTTTTGTGTATCGTTTTTCTAAATAAAAATACTAAAAGATGAACAAGACAGTCATTCGATCTATACTTACAATACACCGGCTGTATTGTAATAGATCTCTTTTCTGTAAATAAGCTATCAATGAAAATGGCTTTTTCCACTTTTCCAGTACTAAACACTTAAGAATTTGTAGGATCCGTTGTTGCTGTGGGTGTGTCGGAGGATAATTTCTCACAGTTGCTCGTCATATTAAGCAGTTGAAAAATGCGCTGATAGATGCGGCTGTTATTATGCATGTCGACTCGTAACACATGGAGCCACGCAATCAGAAGCGGTCCCACTTCATCGCGTTAACATAAACGAAACGATCGACAGTGTCCGTAAGTCAGTGCTTTGGGACAGCGTGAGGCCCTCTTACGTCTGTGAAGACCCGGTGCATGTGCCGTGCCGTTTACAGTACTTACCAGGAGTGATGTAGGCTATATAATACTACTACTAATAGTAATAATAATAACAAACTTGAGGCACAAATAATGTAGTAGCACACACTTACTCATTGTAGTAAATAATCAGAAACTAAGTGTTAGTTACGTTCAAAATCCCATGTTCATTTATCATTAATCGATCATAACGTCTCATATATTTCATGTAGTCACTTTGTTCATGATTTGTACTTGAGTAGTAACTGAGTAACTTGAGCCCCCTCAAAGTAAAGTGTCATTTATGAATCTTCCTTGCTGTTGCAAGTACACCTTTTATACGACTTCTGAATTTCAATTTTCAATAAATCTTTCGGCTAACATATATTTACACTGTAGCGGGGAAAGAACTTGTACGAATATCCTAATGAGTATGTCCAGTTACTGTCTGAAACGTCACCTTCGCATAGCCCCCCCTCCCCCCCCTTCGAGTACTTTATTCTGTACTGCCTACATTAAGAATGAGTTCAACTTTATTGATCACAGGGGGAAATTTTGGGATGAATACATCTTATATAGTATACCGAAAAGCAATCTCGTGATTAAATTTTAAAACAAACTTTAAAATAGTAAGATCCAGAGTGACTTAAATGTGAAATACCTAAATAATTTAGATAAATAATTTTTCAAAACTGCGTTTCACATTTAACTTTCTGGACAGTTAACTTCAACCCAAGCTGCCGTGTGACGAGCGTCTCGTTTCCATCTTATAGCAATGAAGCCAGCGGGCTGTAATCTGCACTGGCCGCCAATATCCCGGCATTCGGAAACACTGGAACGTAATCGCTATTGTCAAAAGCGTGCATGAGGTGATATACGGCAAGGGGCTGCCATGCAGAAAGACGTCCCATAGAACTAAA